AAAACATGTAGATGGTATCTTGAGCTTTCGTGGACACAGCCCACTTCTTCAAATGACCGGAGTTTTGAGTTTAGGATGGGCAGACCTAAAATAAATAGGGGAGAAGGAAGAGGGGGGAAGGAAAAAAAGGAAGGGGAAGGGAAACAAGGAGCAGAGGGTATGAAAATATCAAAGGGAAAAACAAGTAGGCAGAACTGGTAACCTATAAGCACCTGAAGATTGGATAGTTAAAAGAAGCAGATAAGGATCATAGGATAGCAATTAGATAGGAAGGGTACTAACCCAAGAATCTACACAGACAAAGAGCTGTAGGCAACTTCTTTGAATGTTAGGTTGATAATGTCCCAGCCATCCATTATCTCAATTGAGGAGATTATCAATGTGAGAACTGAATTTATGGATGAATTGTGATTCCAAAGCAGCTGTGTATTTGGCTTGTAGAATTGGTTTGTGAATAGGTTTAGTCAATAGAGTCAGCAAAGCTAGTCTGCTCATCATAGAAAAGGTTATAAAAATCTATGACATTCACTTGCATATGTTTCCACAAAGTAGACCATGCTGCAACTTCCTGTTGTTCTTTTCTGAAAACCAAAAAAAATTATGAGGCAAATGACATTTAATTTTCTACTGCATGATTGTCAGGGCTACAAAGACTAATAAAGGTTTGGGGCAAAGCAGGAGATTTAGGAGATGTAATGCAATCGTGTACTTCCAAAGATGGTGTCTAACACTCTGCAACTTAACTAGTCATCAATATTGAATTTCATTGCAAATGAAATTCCCTAGGGTTACCTAGGGAAGTAGTGGAGTCTCCATCCCTAGAGGTGTTTAAGTCTCGGCTTGACAAAGCCCTGGCTGGGTTGATTTAGTTGGAATTGGTCCTGCCTAGAGCAGGAGGCTGGACTTGATGACCTTCTGAGGTCTCTTCCAGTTCTATGATTCTATGATCAGAATGCCACATGTATTTAGTGTAATCTTCTATGGTTGAATCTGGACACCATTCGAGTTCAGCCCAACCCATTTTTATTGTTTAGTATTGTCAGTCCAACTTTTTTTTAATGCTGTTTGGTACACTTTCATAAAATGGTCAGTGGGCATGAGGAAACAGAACCCAGTTTCTCAGCACAGGGGCTGTGAACACCGGAACACCGGTATCTTTGCCACAGTGCTGATGATCACGAAGGGGGTGGTGCAAGGTGGGAAGGGAATTTGGGGGGATGGTTAGAGACCCATAGAAGCAAAATGCGAGAAGCAGCAGAAAGAATTGCTGGGCTGTTAGGTTACTGCATTTAGAATGTGCCATTGTCCGCTCAGGAGATGGCAGTGGGTGGGAGTCAGTTCAACTACTCCAGATGCCAAGCCAGAAGCCCTCCCAAACCTGTGAAACACACAAGGAACCATAAAGCCTCCCAGCGTTAGTGCCTTAGCGCCACCGTTCTTGGGCCTTAATGCTGCCTCCATCCAGACTCCTCTGTGAGGCTGGGGTAGCCAACAGGGGGAGATGGGTCTACAGGATGAACCCTGGGGACAGGATCTCCACACACCTCTTGGTCACAGGCCCACTCCCCCACGCAGAGGGGCATGCTCTACGCTGTGGAGAGTCATGCAAGATAGGGCCCAAGGTTGTGCCCTGACACCCAGACAGGGGGAGATGGGTCTACAGGATGAACCCTGGGGACAGGATCTCCACACACCTCTTGGTCACAGGCCCACTCCCCCACGCAGAGGGGCATGCTCTACGCTGTGGAGAGTCATGCAAGATAGGGCCCAAGGTTGTGCCAGGCAATCTCGAGGGCCAGAGGAGCCAGGGGGCGGGGCTGTGCAAGGCAGACTGAGGGGAGG